ATTATGTGTTAGGCATTTTTCCGGCTGATATCGAACCTGGCCAATTATTTTTGTAAATTAAAACCCGCATAGAAATTAACTCACAACTGTTTAATAAATAAAATGCAATAAGAGAATATCGATCAAATTACGTCGACAAAACTATGAGGATTTTCCCATGAAAATTAGATGTTATTAATGTAAGATACAAGTGGTGGCCATGGTCAGTCTAAGAACAAAATATACATTCAAGATGCACAGAAAAGTGTAAGTAAATAGTAAGGTAAAAAATGTAGAGTAACGTAAAGAATAAAGTAATATGAAGAGTGAAATGTAAAGTAATGCAAAGTGTAAAGTAAAGTGTTAAGTAAGGTAAAGTGTAAAGTAAAGTACTAAAGTAATGTAAAGTACTAAAGTAATGTAAAGTTCTAAAGTAAAGTAGTAAGGTAAGGTGGTGTACTAAAGTAAAGTAAAGTAAGTATGTAAATCAGTATCTTATTACAATGACATGTGTATGACAGTTTACAAATAACGATATCAAATAATATAACATAACAACCGGCCCCAATGAACCAATAAGTCAACTGAAGCATATAAACATTATAGATAGTTCACATGAAATTATTATACTGTACACATCATCAAAATTGTAGGATAAATAATCGTGTATGCTACAAAACTATGTACATATCTATATTGAATGCTACAAAACAACGTCATATCTAAATTGAATTGAAATGACTGTGCAAATGGGTTTAACTAAATAACATAGAATCTTTAAAGGAAAACACAGGTTATGAAACATGCATATCATTGGCAGTCGTCAAATGGCAATTAAAAATGCAGGTACCATATCATAAGGAGTTTTTTTTGACAGTTTTCAACTAGAAATACTTGAACCAACCAACACGAAATGAAATAGATGGAGCTAAAATAACAAGAAACGTGACAATAAATATCGTAATGAAAGTTCTTTCAGATGCTTACGGAAAATATAGGAAAAAGAATTGGTTAAAAATATCAGAAACTTTAAATGTCTGTTTATAATAGATATGAAATGAATTCATACCGATCTAATATTATATTCGTGTTTAAATTATGTTTCAATGTTTAATAATTCTAATTTTTATGTTACTTTATAATCATAAACTTTACAATCATTTTAGCTAATTCTTACGATTAATAGAATATCAAATTCAATATATATATATTTCCTTCAAATCTAACAGTGCTAAAATGTTTTCAACGAATGTTTATATGTAACTGGGTACATGCAATGTTTAAATCGAATACAATTTTTTTTTACTTCTTCTTTTGTTCTTTTTCTGCGACTTCATGTATTTAATTTAGAATGCATTTTGATTATACATGTACCATCGTTAAATAATAATTATCTCACTCCTTATAATTTACAGGATCATTTTTTCGGAAAGTATTTAATACTGTGTTTCAAATCGGTGTATAACGTACGACTAACTTATTACCAGTTAGAGATACTAGATGTGTTGAATAGTTGTTTGAATTGTGCCACTATTAAACAAACTGTCTGCATTATTATTTAATATCAGATTATAAGTTAAATTAATATCATCATCAACATTTCAATTGAAACCCTATTCGAAAAGTTCATCATTGATAAGATGTGATATTTAGACGACACTTTACCCTATTTGTCATTCTGCTTAAATTTCTCCAGAAGGGTTTTAAATCGCAAACAGGTATCTTAAAAAAGTTGTGTTATATATTTTTCGTTTTTATATCTACATGTATCTTTATAATTTTCTTTATTTTCAAGGTCATTGTTATATAGAAAATGCTCCAACTTTCACAAAATTTTCATTACAGTTAACTTTTATAATCTTGCATTCCATCTCGGACCAACAGGTGTATTTTTCAAGAAAATGTTTACTTACATGTAAACAGACGGTTCAATAGATGTCGAGATATGTTATATTCCTTCTCAATAGCATTGTCTACACGTTTCATTACTATTTATTGTCTTTAAACAGGTAAACAGGTAAAATGTGTTTTCATCATTATCAGTCTGTTAAAACAATTATCATTATTACATTGCAATTTTCAACATATACAAGGTGGTTGTTATTTATGTTGAACTGTATGTCCTTGAATGATAGAGCGATTACTAGTATTGTTTTCGTTTGCAAATATGCGTTTTGTTTTAGATTTTGTTTTTATTTATGTTGGGAATTATGTACTTTAACAAGACTGTTCAGGGTAACAACCCCGGAATGGGAATGTGCCACTGAACAAGTGTCTTTCAATACACCGATTAACATTGGAAGTAAAAATATAAAAAAAGCAAACTGAAAGCCTCGTGGAAATATCTCATAAAAGTGAATATATTTCTAAATAGATAGACGTTCCAGGGTTTGTCAAAAGCCTTAATGTTTATGTTATTCCATATCTTCTGTGCATGATAAGAGAGGTCTTTACTACTGTTCGTCTATCGACATCTTAACGATTGTAATATTTTAATGATGCTTTTTTTAGTTTTCGGGGTCATCATTATTTGCAAGAGCTATTTTATACATATTGATTTATACATGCATGTCCTTTCATAACGTTCATGTCTAAATGTTAACTTATTTATAACTGTCAATAGATACAATGACATCAATTAGTTGTTTTATGTCAGTTTGCAATCACATTGTATAATAAAATTTCCAAATGAAATGAAACACCCTATGTTTAATTTTTAAATCGTGCAATCTGACTAAAGTTCAGATCTATTTATTTCTGATAACCAACGTATTTGTTTTGCCTTCATTGTGATTCGGATTTCACGAGACAGCTATTTTTAGCCATGCAATCGAACAATCGCAACTACTCGGCCCTTTCCGTCAGTCTCCGGATAAGGACCTCGAACACAATAGTATGGATGCGGTATTTCGGTCAAACCTACGCTAAGAAACTAAACATGTAAACAAATAGTAATTTAATGCTGGGAGTTGTTGACAAGTTAATTTCCAATATATGTAGTAAAAATCCATCTAAAATAAGTGAATTCTTAGGTACAAAAGTAAACAATACACAATTTATATATTTATTATTATGGTTGTAAAAACCGAATGTACAAAAAACCAACCTGTTGACATTTAGTCGGATTTGTTAAAAATTGAACTTCAGTGGGAATATTCAAATTACAAATTGTTGTCAGACATATTTTCAAGCATCAGATACCGGAACAGACATAAGATGTCAAATATATACATTCGTTTTACATTATCTCTGTTTCTGTTTACATCTGAAACCACGTGGTAGAACTACTTTTAATCCGTATTGTTTCCGAGGTTATTATAGATAATAGCCGAGGCAGTTCCGAATGGCAATCGAACCGTTCTTTATGGATAACGGTTGCTTCCCTTTATAGTTTGTCATGGTGATTTGAACTGAAAATATATATTCTTTATCAAGTAATGGTATGCGTCGTTAGTATTACATCCCCTCTTTATGTTGGCACCAGTTATTTATGTAGATAACATATGTTGAGACTTGTATACAGACAGTGAAGGTAGGACTTTAAACTGGTTGTATAGGATCAAATTAACTTCAATGACTTTCGAATTATATTTGATTATTAGGAATAATTAAACTATTCAGCAAAAGAAGATAGTCTTAAGGTTCTACGGCTAATAGACAGAATTTCGCTTTTCTAAACAGATGAAGGTCAAGGTCATTTGTGAATGAAATTTAAGTTTAGTCAGGTTTACTTGAAGGTCTTGTCACAAAGGTTGTTGTGGACAAGTATTAAGGCAATACAACAAGAACTAAAAAAGTTATGATCAAGGTTAAAGTTTGCATACGGCATCGGGAACACCGCCATTATGGTAACAAAAACTCAATTTTCGTCGAAAAATAAGTCCAGCTAACAATTGCGACCTTTTGACGTCTCATAATAATGTACAAACTCCTCACAGCGGTTACGTTTCGCTTTGCTACTTTAACCACTGCCACCACTGAAACTGCTCCTCCTGTATTATATTTAAGGGGATAAGACCAATACAACATTCTTTGTTAGCCCCATCTTCTTCATGATTCCTGGCAACAACTGGCAAACAAGGCTTTTCCATATCCAACTGGTATATTTACAATCACATCCTTACCAGATAAAATATGTTCAAAACACTCAATTTGTTGTTTACACTTTAAAACAAGTGCCGGTTCAAAATTGTTTGCGCAATCGTTCAATAACTTTCTAACTTTAGCCATTTTACTATACATACGGTGTCACAGTGAAAATAGCTTTCGTTATGTTGTATACGTATATTGTTTAAAGCATAACAATTTAATGAAAGAAAACTAAAATGATATGTCTCCTTCTATATTGGTCTAAGGATTTCGTAACGTTCTTTTTTGTGATTAAGACTGCAAAACAGAGAGACACCAAAAAAATAGAATAATCAACAAAGTCAGAAGTTACGTTTTCACGTCTACAACTGTATTTCAAATCTGCCGTGCATTCCATAAATATACAAAACCGTCAAAATCATGAAACAAACGATGAATGAGAAAACGAAGAATGAATATATATCAATACACCTTTATAAGTAAATTACCTGCAAAACACACAGAGACAGCAAAGTAATAAAATAATCAACAAAGTCAGGAGTTAGGTTTTTACGTCTACAATGGTATATCAAATCTGCCGTGCGCCTGCGTGGTGGTAAATTATGAACGAAAAAAGGGCCTGTCTCCATAGTTTAGTTACTATAGCAAGTGTATGATATATGATGAAAGATAGAGATTATTGGAGTAATTATGAGATGAAGAGTGGATGGATAAGGAAGAATATATTAATCTTATAAGAAATGCACTATATATCATATAGGATATAATAATGGTAAGGTTATTTATATATAATGACAAATGACCCTGTGACAGATATAAAGTACATTTGTATTCTATTTTAAAATTTAAAGTGAAAAAAAGCATATTCGGCTCTCTGACGACCGACTTTACTTGTGGTGATCGTGCTTTCTGTACTGATCAGGGGAGTAACCGCTGCGGGGAGTTTGAATAATGTATTGCAAAATTAACCAAAATGTATCAAACTGGAATATTTCTTTCTCTACATACTTTCATGAAATTTATAAGTGAATACCTTTCCGAAACAGGTAAATACACAATATTTCAGACAAAAGAGTACTGTCATTTCGAGCTTTTCGACTTAAATTTTTACTTTGACATCAATAAAATATCCATAGGCGACTCAAAATTATTACGGATCTTATACTTTTACAACAAACTCTTCGTTTAACAAAATCATTCCTGCAACGCTTATAATAAAGCAGTCTTTTGGGTTGAACGAATGCGTGCCGTGATTGATGGGACAAAAATTGCAGAAAAGTGGTCTTGTATATTTAGTCGCATATAATGAATGGAGACGTTTCCGAAACAAGAGTAACCGTTGCCACTATTTCATGATCTTTTTACCGCGAGTGAAGATAAAATGCATGGTTATAAGTATCGAGAAGTTAGCACTGACATCGAAGAACTTCTCGATACTATTTTTATTTAATGAGCCCATCAGTATTGACTTTATTTTTTTTTTCGCGGACAATTCTAGCTTAAGCGGAATTTAAGTTAGTATTGAGTTACTGTTCTTTTATATATCATTGATATTCCTTATTTCACGCTTGGAGTAAACTATTCAACAGAAGTCTGTACTTTAAGACTTGTGCGTTTTCTTTACAAAACAAAATTTCACCGCTGCTACCAGTATTTTCAGCAAATGAGAATCGGGACCAATCAAAACGTTCATTTACATAGAAAAATAATTGTCGTAGCTAGGTAGAACCGAATTCCTTTAAAACGTTTTTATTCTTTTGTTGTTTCAACTGAATTCGCATATATTCATTACTTGTTATTCTTTAAATCTGCCAACTTAACTACACCGTGAAACCATGCATTCTAATTAATATTCGCCTATCTGTTTTGAATAATTGATAATTAATAATTGATGATTGCAGCAAACCAGAAGAGCTTTGTCATGTTTAGTTTATTTGAAATATAACTGTAAAGTAACAGTAGGTAGCAGTCTGATAATTCTTGACTGTTTTCTTTGCGCGTTGATAGAAAAGTATTTGATTAAGTCAAAGAGAAGTATGATTGTTCTTCTGAAAATAGTGCTTTTTCTAGTGTACATTAGACCGGTTTATCTTATGGATAAGAAACATCTTTCAAAAATGTTAGCAGTTGAAAATGGGGATAGGAATATTTTCATATTTGAAACAGTCTTAGGCTATGGATTGAATCACTGTGTAGGAAGTTGCAAGGCGAAGAAAATGTGTGAATATATAAATTTCAATGTAAAAGCAGACATGTGCTCCTTGATTGGTACCCAAGATAAGGCCACATCTATCGAAACTTTTATTGAAGAGCGAAAAGGTTTCATATTTGGGCAGAAAGCTGACTGGAATATGGTATGATTTTGATAAATAATATACTAGTATATGTTTTAGAGGAATATCGTTTATTCAATTATTTCAATGAATTCAACTATGACATATATCTGGCCTCTAGATTAATATTCAATTGCTTGGTCAAAAATGTTAAATCCGTAGAAACGCGTAATGTGTATCACGTGTGTGAGTGTGTCCGCATAAAAGATTTTTAAAACTTACTTGGCCTATAAAAGCCTATTATATAGTGTGTGACGTGAAATGACCAATATCGTGACTGTAAGTCATATTTAAAATGAGTGCATATTTGCTTTTAAAGGTGTTTCAAGGCTATAACCGACACCAATCAAAATTATTGTTTTTTAAACATTTTAATTTTACGAAACAAGTTTTTTTTTCAAAGATGCGCATAATTTTTTAGCATGACGACAGTTATTAAAATTAATGAAGCTTAAACGTAAATGTCACTTTAAAGCTTTAGTTTCAAATTTTTGTCGTTTTCGTTTGATGGGGGAAGGGTTCAAAAAACATTTTAAAATACAAAATAAGAGGAAATGCGTGATCCATAATATAATTTGTGAATCTATTAGGTCAAAAGAAGACAACACCTAGCCTTTTAAGGTTAAATACCAGAGTACCTAAATGGTTTATTTCTTTGTGCCTTTTCTATTATTTGGTACTAAACCAAATTACTTGAATATACATAAAATGTTCATACTTCCTACATTAATTCAATTTTATTTGTAACGCCTCATACCCTTTCATTCTGTTCCCCTTTAAAGTAAACTGTGAACTTAAAATGTCATTGTTTTCTAGCCAAGGACATACATGTAAATAAGATTGATTAATACGCACTCTTTAGCCGCCGAAAACCAGTAGTTGTCATTAGATTTTTTGGCATGAACGGCTATGAGGTTGTCACTCGTAACGCTCAAAATAAGAGGGGAATTAAGTGAATTTCAACGTGTTTTCTTCTTTTTAAACAGAAAGAGCTAAAGTAAACCAAATATAAAAACAAAGGAACTATAAAAATGATCAAGGTTTATTGAAAATATCCAAACATATACAAGTTGTTATATGTTTCCAAGTTTGTATCACTTTTAAGGTTGGGCTTTGTATTGTTGATTTATTCCGGCAAATTGGATTTATAATATATTTCTCTAAATTACTTCATTTATTTGGAAGGTAGATACCTTCAATGGTCCTCTTAAAGTCGATTTAGAGTCGATATCATTCATGTTTGATACTGACATGCCTAGTAAGGCCCCTTCCTTATGGTTAAGTTAGTGGTCATTTGGGTCAAGGTCCAGGTCACTAACTCCAAAAATATGTTTTTACTTTTTTACATGTGTAACATTTTCCTTTTGACAAATGTCTTTAATATATGGCAGGAACATTAACTGAGAAGTATTCTGCCTTTGTTTTGGAAGGAGTCAGGGGTCAATTAGGTCAAGGTCGCCGATGCTAAAAATATATTTATATATTTTTGCTTAATCCAACGGCTTTTATCTATTTATAATAGTTTTCATATAAGGAAGGAACATACATTTGATGGTCCAGTGTTGGGAGTCACAACATCAAGGTCACATGTACTCACAATAGATTTTTACACTTTTTCTTATACAGCCTTTGAAAATGTTTTACCAATTTCTAATATTTAGAAGGAACATCAGCTGGTTCTTTAAGTTTAGGTGGTCATTGGATTCAATGTCAAGGTCATCCATTTATAATTACTTGAGGTTTTTTATTTGTAAGTTTAATATTTTTTCAACTTCATCAAATAGCAATGACATGTCAACATATATATTTCACAATAAGAAAACGTCATCACTGTGTTTACAATATTTTGGGCAGTTTTTCTGTCCATAACTGAGTGAATAGGTAAACCTTTTTTTTTAATTATTACAAGTGTCTGTACCGGGGGCATCTGTGTGTAACAGAAACGTTCTTGTTTCTAGAAATTATTATTTTCTACGCAAACCTCTTTATTTCTTAAAGGGTTTACTTCAAACTCCCAAATCATGATAATATGACAACGTTTATAAATAAAGCGTCAATATTTCCAGAATTATCCTCTCCTTAAACTTTGCATTTTCCGTATTCATTCTTTAACTTTCTTATTTCATCATGGATTTACTTCAAATTTAGATATATGTTCATTATCAACACCTTCATCAGATGCGATAAGTTTTATTAGACTAGCACCTAGGTTTCCATGATTATTTTCATTTTGAACTTGAAATTTATTTGAAAATTGTTATTTTTTCACAATCTTCTTTTAACTATAAATAGTATAAACTTAAAATTAAGATAAGTTTTCTTTGTCATCACTCACATTATGTACGACAATGTTCATACGTCTAGCATCTTTATTTCAAGAATTATCTCTTCTTTAAGAATTTTGCTTTTAGAAATGTTATATTCCGGTAACCAGGGATGTTTAAAGGTTTACCCTCAGAATCTATGTCAGTCAGTCCGTATGTCCTCCCGTCCCTAAAAAATGTTTCATGGCATCACTTTTAAAAACTTGGAACAAATTTACTTAAACAGAAAAAAGTTGAAACATTAGTTAAACACATTCATCCTTAGAAAATTGAATCTTTTGATTACATAATTTCCTTACAAGGCATGGATACTTAACACATTACTATGATACAGACAAAATAAAACTCAAAAGATTTAAAATCATTCATTTATGTCTTCCACAATGGCATAATTGAATGGCCAATGGCCCTTGAGAATTGTTGCTTGGGTTCTAACCGGTAGGGAACTTTTGTATTGCTTGCAATCCTATAATAATTGTTTGTTGTTTCAAATGTAAAGCCTAGTAAAACATTACAAATACTATGTTTTTGCTACTGGGGATGTGTGATATCCCCGCTCCATTCCAGCCTCTGTAAAAAAAACTTTATATATAGCAGGTGCAAAAAAAAACAACAAAAAAACCCCTCAACATTTATATATCATACGAATCAATAAAATAAACAGCGCTGTTTAATATCAATACGGTTTCAAATACTCATTGAAAATGTACTGTATGAGTAAGAACAAAGAAAAATTCCTAACCTTGCGATAATTTTTTTATTATCGATGAATATTTTTTCGAATGCTGTTAGAATTTCAAACTTTATTTTTTTTTCAACAGAGCTCATTATTTATTACCAATATATGAGAATATCTTCTCATTCAGCTGTTCGACAATAGTTCTTAATATATTGGCAAAGTGATCGTATAATTAAAGAAGTCAAATGATTAAGATTTGCATTAAACATCGATTGTCATTTGAGTTATGAATATATTCAATAACATTTATTATCTTTTGCATTTTGTTTCCGTTTTAAGTTCCCAAATCAGTTTATGCAAATATATAATATATTTTTTAAAGCTTACTAGTTTTTTATTGCAAATTTACAACAATATTGCATTATCGCAGAATTTGTCCTTCTCGACTGTTTTGGTTGCAGGGGGAGTTCGAGATATGTAACAATTGTGAAGCACGTGGTGAATGCAAACCTGGTCAGGATGAATATGCTAAATGTCAACACTCAGGTGAGATGCTTAAAAATAACGTTGATTGGTTAGTGTGACAGCTCGATGACAAGAACTGAAAACAAATAGATAATCAACTTTCATTGCAAAAAGTAATAATTATATAGTTTCCAAATATATCTAGCATTATTATAGCTAACTAGTATGTAAAGTTATTCTTATTTTTGTATCATTCGAGGTAAATTCTAAAAAGATATTATTATTTAAGCCATATATGAAAGGTATATAACATTTAAAAGAAAGCAGAAAATAACCAATTAAACAAGGTTGCATTTGTGGAAAAGTGATATGCCACCGCATGAATATAACGAACAGAAGTAGATTTTTTAAACAATTAAACTTTGCCATAATGCTAGTGTCCGGTGAATTTTTGGGAGTCAAGGTCGTATGATCAGCATGTCAAGTGATAGACAATGTGCAGACATGTCTAATGTGCAGATACAAAGGCCATAGTGCAATAACTGATTCAAAATAAAAGTATCATGTATGTATTTACTAATTACATAGCTACAAAAAACTTTAAAATTCAGTTACAGTTACTCTTCATAAATACTATCTTTTCAATTTCTGAAAACAAAAATCATTTACGATTTAAATCATCATTTTATACATGGTGTAAATTATAATGTCCTTATATAGTCTGATTTTATTGACCTGTCAATTATGAATACATTATACATGTATCACTCATTTAGATATTCGATCCCGCTTCGGTTCGGTCCGTGTAGTTTACGAGAATTAATATGGAGTAAATGACTAATGTTTTGAAAAATCACACCAGCTTAATATATGGGTCGTCATCACATCTGCAGTAGCAGGCAGTGAAGTAATTGTCGAATATATGAAATGTATGTGGTTCGATCCCTTCTGTTGCGATTGTTTTAGATCTACTCTTTCTTTTTTTGCAGTGTATTTTAATTTAAATGACCGAGTGCTTGCAAGTGTCAACACGGATATGATTCAATTTAGTTAGAAACACTGTTTTGTCTCGTTTTGTATTGTGTTTAACGGCATTGAAATAGCATTTAATGATTTTAGTTCATGAATTGTTAAATATTAATTCTTAAACAATGTTATGTCAAAAACCTATAGACGTTACCATATAAAGTGTAAAACATATTAAAACAAAACGAACAACATGGAAAAAAAAACAAAATCATAATCTCAAAAATGTTAAAAATATAAATAAGGAAAAACATTGACCTACGCGGTCTCGATCTTCAAACCACTTTCCCCTCACGGCTGTGGGTTCGAATCCCGACAGGGACTTTCGATTCTTCCATGACTGTTAGGAAGCTATCCGGCTAGGTTATGGAACGTCGGTGCAAATAATTTAGTGAAATAATGCACGTAAGGGCACCTGAGGTTTTCCCTCCATCAGTGAAGCTGTAACGCCATCATATGACTTATAATTAGTCAGTGTGACATAAAACCTAATTAAACAAATAATAAAACCTAATTAAACAAACACAATTTAACACGTAGGACATTTAGAAATGATAAGCCCGAAGTTTACCCTATTTCTCTATATCACCCAGTATATTTATTGATTAAATCACATCTTACTGAACCTTCCGCAAATTTATAAATTGTGTGCATTGACCATAACGGGATTGGTGTAATGGAAAAATAAATTGACTTACTATTTCTTAGTATTTTAACATTTTGACGTGATATCTGGCAAATTAGTATGAAGTTATGGACATGGGCGAAGTTTTAAATTAGACAATGAATGTGGCATGCGTTTAAAGTAAATAAATAAGAATGCGTTATTATATGGTTACTAATGTATTTATAAATCCACGCTGTTACATGTATAATACCTATTGAAACCACAGGAACCACAGGAATTAAAAAATGACGGCAAATATACCCACTATACTAGTGTTTATTTATAGTAGAGGGGTTTATTTGCCGTTATTGTTTTTTTATTTATTTGCTTATATTTTTCAGTTATTTATAGAATGTCAAGCGTCTGTGTTGAAACACGTACATTTCCTATAAATTTCTTTTTCTATTAATCTGAACTATAACTATTACGTTATTGAGAGGTTAATAAAGTCAAACAATAATGTTCTTAAATTACTTTATAAATATCACTGCAAAGTTGCTAGAGGTCATGACCTCAAATCGTTTGTAATTTCTTTTATACATACATTCAAGGTAAACACATTACCCCCGGGCGGACTAATTTTAACCCCAGGGTTGTTATTTGACCAATCTTGGTAGATGTCTACCAGACAATGCCTTATGCAAAATACCTATGCTCAAGGCCTTGTGGGTCTCTAGAAGAAGAATTAAAAAATCTTATCATTTCTTTTGGTTGCCATGGCAACCAGCTTTCTGCATGTAATCAAATTGTTTGAATAACTTTGGAAGCCCTTCACTAATCGTTTTAGTAGAAGATTTAAAGTTCACTGTTTATTCTATGTATAGCACACACACACACACACACACACACACACACGCACACACTCACACACATACACACGCACCAATGCACACACACACGCACACACACGTGCATGCACGCGCACACAAACTCGCGCGCGTACGCACAAACACATTAAGGCAAATCACTATATTCCCCTAAATCGCAGATGTTACAGTGGCATAAAAAGGAAAATACTGTATCACGCAACCAGTTTATTATCTTGAATATAATAAACTTTTTACATCTTGATTTAAACTGTTTCAAAATTATATTTCAGCGTTCATTTATTTACATGCGCCAGAACAAACACAACTTTGTCTGAAATTACCAAGCACGAAAGGGTTTTGAATATTTTATATCTTTTATAGAGCACACAAACGTTTTGTCTCATATTCAATAAATACATTTAATGTAACATTTCTCCCGAACATTGAAGATAAATCAAAACGTTGAATAAAACATTTCTCCCCTACGTAGAAGTTTACAGTGTCTGTAAATGTATACCTAACAAACTACATTGTTGTCGATTATCTTTATCTTGTTACGACAGGATGTGGTCCCCCAGACGGAAAAGAACACGCTTTGATACGTGGTAACATGTTTACGGTTGGCGATAAAGCCGAGTACAAGTGCTCTGCCGGATACAAGGACGCTTTTGGAGCATCTGGCAGTCAAACAACGTGTCAACAGTCTGGTGTATGGACTCCTGTAGACATTCAATGTGTCCCAGGTAAAACAACAATGAATAATGAAATCATGCATTACCTTTCACACAAACCTTAAGGTTTAACATATTCACATAACCTAGCAAAAATAAGTATTTATTTTTTATTTTTAAGTTCATTAGTGTTTCTTTTTGCAGATGACACGGTATTTATTACAAATAACATGCAAAAATTCCAACGGTATTTAAACGATTTTAATGATTATTGAGAAAAAATAGAAGAAATCAGCCTTCATACCAAACTTGGATACAATTTTATGTATAATTGTGAATACTTATTTGTCGATAGCGACAACACAAACTATATCGTTATCTATGGTGGCTGATTTGGAACTCTTGTATGCGTCGTGTTGGCGCTAGCGACAACAGGACACAGCGCCAAACGGCGCGTTGTCGGACTTTCGTCTTGTCCCAAATCAGCCACCATAACCTAAAGCTTAACGGCCGTGCAGTGTTTTATTTTCAAAACCAATATTCATTCATTTTCAAGAGAACAATTTCTTGTTAAATGTACATGTGTTGATTAATTTATTTGTTCGTCATATTTATCAGATACAGTAAGTCATGTTTTTTCCTCGTTTATCCCATTTAACTGTCTTTTTACATCTGTGAGAAGACATTTTTTAAAAAAAACTCGTGCTGTATCCATTACTTAAACTGATTTACAAAGTAAATGACTAACTTCGTTTTATAAAATTTAAAATTATAAATTGATTTCATTGGTTGACAAATTAAGCTGGCAACACAAGGTTAAAGCAGAGAAAAAAGTCAGTATTTTCTTAAAGTTATTTTCTTTGTAATTTTAGCTTTGATTTCCACAAGCACTTTTTTCATAGCAATATGTAAAAAAACTAGTACTCGAAGCTGTACATGAATAAATATTTCCTTATTTATCTTATCAAATAAACAATATTTTATCAAGATTGCACTGATGAGACATATTAGGTTTGCGACCAGCATCCGCGCAGTCTGATCAGGATCCATGTTGTTCGCTCACCAACCCTACTACAAGTAGAGAAACTTATAGCAAACAGCATGGATCCTGATCAGACTGCACGGATGCGCAGGCTGGTCTGGATCCATGCTGGTCGCAAACCCATTGTGTTGGTTTGGTCGTGACACGGCTCAAACAACTCAGTTTTAAAGCGTTAAATGATTCATATACACCACGTATCCAAAAGAAGAATAAACAGACAACTGCACTGGCCTCAAAATATGCCCGTTTCAATGTAGTTTTATGCAATGATACTAAAAAAATATATACTCTTTCAGCAGTCTATCTGATATTAAATAAATATATTTTGTATGAGTTAGCAAAATTTTATTTACAGCACCAGTAAGGAATTATTATCAGTTTGTTGACAATTACAATAACAACTGATTTGTAGCTCTCCACACACGCATACATTTTTTCGTTTCAGAGGACATTTCAGAGGACGCAACTGAAATTGTTAACAATTCAGTGTATCTCCTCGACAAAAATGAGAAAAGCTGGGATGATGGCAAAGTATGTATTATAAGAAACACCACTTTTCATTCATACCATTAAGATATACACAGTTAAATAAGTTAACCTGTAGATACGTATCAAGATACTTTCAACTATATATGAATCTCTATATATACATACATATATATATATATATGTATAAATAAATTAGTTATACATTGTTGAGTACAATGTCTATGAAATCAGTGCAAATTTGCAAAAACTATATATGCTTTGAAGCTGTATTGTACTCAACAATATATTATTGCCTCTTTATTTCAAACCTCCATATTTTAACGTTTGTTAGAACTAAGTTTATTTAAGTACATTATGGATTTGAATTGATTTTATTAGCCAACTGATTTTAACACGGAAATGAGAATGAAGATAATCAGAAAATGAAAATAAGGGTAAACAAATGTAAAATTGGGATCATTAATGATTTATATTTGACTACTAAATTATGCAAACGCTTGAAAGTTCATTGGTTACATTTTATAAGGTGTGAAATATATTTCAAAATATTAATTAATGTACAGCTTCTTATTGACTGATGTCTTTCACATTAAGTAAGATCAAACCTTAGGTGGTAAAGTAATAGAAAGAGCATCGAAACACGATGATATCTGATTTGTACGAGGGGGCATAGCCCCCGAGGATAAATCAGAATGCCGAGTGTTTTGATGTTCTTTCTCTTTTGTATCATAGGCAAAAGTAAAAACATGTTCCCTGTTGTTACAATATGACACCCCAGAAAAAGTAACAATGAACGAGCATCTGAATATGACATTTCTATCGCTTCCCCTTTCTCTATCATCACATTATTTAAACCCCGGAAAAAAAATAAGCCAATCAATGAGCATGCTGTGGAGTGCGGGTAACTAATACGATCTCATTCCGCTCGCGTTTATAAAAGAATTGCATTCATAGAATGAAGTTATTGTCCGAATATGAATGAAGTTGTAAATTCATATGCTACAGTTAGAAAAAAAGTACTAAATGAAAATCTAAGTTTTCGTAATATCACTTATTTGCTATATGCAAGAAAAAGAATCAAATACCGGCAGTCATAACAGACAGGAATATTAAGCTATTGGGTAACTGTGAAGCAGAGCCTCGTTTCCGCTGTAAACAGTGCCCTTTAGCTAAATATCCCGGTCTGTACCAACAGCCGGTGTAAGATCTATAAAGTATACATCGCCTATAGTGATATGTCACATTTATTCAAAGGTGAATTTATTCTGAAAAAGACTAAATGTTGAAAGCTAATAAAGCGTTTGATTTTATAAATTTCATTTCTTTCTCAAGACGACTAAAGAAAAGCGTTCGATTAATATATCATTTATACACAGGAATACTGCAAAAGTATTGGTGGAGATCTAGCTGTCGTGAACACAAATGTTTCTTATGATGCTGTCAAAAATCTCACTGACTTAAATGATGGTAAGTACTTATGCATATAATCAGTTCATATCTGATCATGAGTTTTCTGATATTTAGAAAAGGGCACGAAAATGTCACACCGTATAAATACCAATTTTTACTATTTTCGTGTTTAAATGTTAAATTCTGTTTGTGCGGAGGTGGGGCGAATGTTAGCTTGCAATAATCACTACCGCCCATGAACACGTCCATGAACATTTAGAGCCTGCAACATTTTAATTATGTCGCTTTTTTGGCATTCTTTAGAGATGCAATCTCCTGCAAATTCACTGATATTACTGGAAAAGACCTCTACTATTATTGATGAAAAGGTTAAACTCGTTAATCTGATTCAATATAACAATAATTGTTCGAGTAATAAACCTATCAGGGCAAAACATCCTGTCACATCATATCCAGATATATGTACATATCCAAGCAATATATGATAATTAAGAAATTACGCCAATTTTTGATTTGATTCGATAAACATACCATTTGAAATCCATTCAAAATCCATAATCTAATTTACAAATACATAACCAACCGGAGAAAGATATGCATGACAAATTCATAAATAGGTAATGGGAAATAACTAAGACAGTTTTAAACAAATATTCGTAGGACTGAATAATTCCCCTTGTTTGCAAATTGCTACGAGTTTGAGAACTTGAAAAAAATACGATGTTAAGCCTAAACTCAATAAAAACGTGCAACAACGGCGCAGGTTTTCTTCTTCATAAACGTATATGAGCCGCGTCATGACAAAACCAACGTAATGCGTTTGCGACCAGCATGGATCGAGACTGCGCGGATACGCAGGCTGGTCGGGATCCATGCTGGTCGCAAACCCACTATGTTGGTTTTGTCATGACGCGGCTCATACCTTTATATCAAATGTACCTTAACAGTTTACCTTGTATTTCAAGGCTGTATTCTACAAGAAATAAGATTATTATCTATTTGCATATCAGGTCTAATTCAAGTTGTTCAGTAAGAGTAGTATCTTATTCAAGTTTGCTTTGGAATTACCCGCTCCCTTTCTGATCAATTTTAGGGTCTTATATTCATTAGAAACTTTTTTCATTAAAGTTCAGGCTCAGATACTACAGCAATGAACTAGAAACCTTTCTTTCATATCCGAGATTGATGAAACTTTAGCGTCTGGCGTTTTCAATTGAAGGGCGGCGATGTTATAGCACCGATTAATGGCAATGTTATATGAAATAATTTCTTAGAATCATTTCTGTATAAAGGGTTTCATTCAAAGCTAGATAAAATATTTGAACGTTTCCAATGAACTAATTGGGCAATAAATAAGTCCGTGCATTTCGTGAAGAAACTATGTTAAGGTGTTGCATTGTGCACTTTTAGGGTAATTAGTTATACATATTTTATATAATTCAAATGAATGACGAACACAGATTTGAGTAATTGCATGTATTTACTTCATAAGAAGAACATTAAACAGGGCATGATTAATATATGTTATTTTGTGTTATTTGAGACTTTTTTTTAATAGTTACTCATAATAACTTATTTTGTAACACAATCTTATGACATTTTTATATGAGTAAGTATCATATATATACTGGTCTAAAAGCCCAGTCAAGGCAGTTCGGATTTGACGAGAGTAGAAGTTGTACACTTGTAGAATTAAAATGTAAAAATTTTAGTTGTGCGTTTGAGTTCTACTACACGACAAAGGCAGCCAAAGAAGAATCTCACGATAATGTTGATATTGTCAAATATCTATATCATCGGTTACTTTTGAAAACATTTAGTTGTACTAATGCATTTGTTATAAAGTATGCTGAAATGTTATTTGTAAATTACTTCTGTTAAACAAAGTTTTTATGTCATCTGAGACAATCAGTCTTTATGTAACGTACATTCCACATATAATTTTCACAACTAATCAACATAACAAAGAATGTATGAGACATCAAAAGTTCAAAACTATTGTTTTAAGTCGATTGGTCTACAATAAAACACATTTTCTACAATATATAAGGATTTTAAATATATATAAAATCAATAGAAACATATCATGGGTTGTTCTAAAACATATTGCTTGAAAAAGAAATGTTGATAAGTTTTAAGAGATTTTGTATTAACAATTATATGATGAGCAATAATATTTTGGTCTAGAACGCTTTTCTATCTGTTGTATAATTATATGTAATATCAAGTGATGTTTCTCACATTTTCCAAAAAGACCATAAATAATTATTTCGTGGTTTAATGCAATGTCTGATACTTAATACTATCAACATTTTGTTTTTGCTTTTTAATGGCTTAGTGTTTTATTAGTGTTATTAAAAGCACATTATGCCTCCGAATCTTAAGAAAAAGGACACACAAGTTTTATAATGTTAAAATAATGGTGTTAGATATTGTTAGATGCTAGGTACCTGAAGCAAGTAGCAATAAATGTGAAATAATTTGTCATGAAAGTAGCAAAATGTAAACAAAGTGGTATTTTGACTTCCATACAAATTCACCATAACTGTACTTATTAACAAAAAGGCAACACATGAAAAACATGGTCCGGGTAATTAGCCCATGAGTAAATTGTTGGTTACTATAAACGTAAACCAAAATTAATAAGCTTTATTTGAGAAATAAAAATAAAAGCATTTTTGAGGCAAAATGAACCTTTAATTGACTTTCAAAAGAATATGTTTACAGCAACTGTCACATGGCTTGGAGCAAATGATAGGGAGAATGAAGGCGTCTGGATATGGAGTGATGGTAAACGAGTTAACGATGGATTCAAAAAATGGCATCTTCCGAATCCCGACAATGCCGGCGCCGGAAGAGGGGAAGATTGCCTAAGCATGCTGCGCAGACGTGAATGGAACGATGCAGAATGTCATATGTTATATTGGAGTATCTGTGAGATCAAGATTATAAAATGATATTAATTTCTTTTAAACGCTTTGTTTAACTAAACTTGTCTTTCACATTTTCTGTATTATTTACTTTGTATGAATTTACAAATTTTGAAATATAAATTATTATATTTTCTAAATTGTATAACTGCAGTCTTAATAATTGCATATGAAATGGTATTACGTATTGAGTTTTGTTATTCTGCTATACTTAAGGAATTTCTTGATAATGTATTAAAATGAGGACTATTGATAATTAGGTATTGTCTCAAATTAGTTTAGTATCACATTAAAGCTGCATGCCTCCAGATGAGCCAAGAAGTTTTAAGAAACTCAAACTTGGGAAATGTGTACTAACATCTTAGTAATGGCGGATTTTGAAATCTTTATCAACATATTCTCACTAAAGTGACTTACTCTGTAACGACTATTTTGCATATTTTGGCCTTTTTTGTATTTTATATAGATTGTAAATGTCGTTTACAATGTTTAAATTACTTTATTTGTTCATTTCACAATATTTTACTTTTAATACATTTTCAAAATTGTCATTAAATTGATAAAAAAAACGTCATTTTTTTCTGAAGAAGACTTGAACGTCGGAAGCTAAAGAAAAGCGTTTGTTTTCATTGAACTGATTATACATTAAATTGATGCAAACTTTGAGGCAAACATCTTTAACAATTAACATTTCTTTTTAAAAAACAACGTTATAAACGAGTTTATTGTGAAAAGTGTTACTATTTAGTATGTTTTTAAATTAGAAAAGCTTGAATTCATAAATATTGTGTTGTCGCTATTATCAAGAATCCATAAACAACAGAGACATCCCACAAAAAATATTCCATTTGCCATGTTTATAATTTGTATTTCTGAAAACAGATTTCGATTTTTTTAATTCTTAAACTCCATATTGATTTGCGTATACACAAAATGGTATGCAGATTTATATTTATTCTTTCAGTTTGATATTTTTTTAAGCCGTCTTGGAAAACACAGCAAAGAAGGGACAAAATAGTATTATACCCTGTTTATTTTAAGAAATCATGCAAAAATGAGTTTTACGGTACAAATTAAAACAGCTATAATACATATTAAATCGGCCATATATTAAATCTGATTAAATAATGATGCAGATTAACACATTTATTTAATATTGTATTTCAATGATATTTGTTTTACTATGTTACAGTTTTCTTTACAGTCTCTTACAATGATATTTCTATATTACTGTGATATTTCTTTAGAAAAATATATACGCTGCGTTACTATGATATTTCAATAGCTGATGTTCACAAGTTAAATGTATTTCATTGTTACATGCAAAAAAAAATCTGTTAATTTCATGCTTTTTTTACTGATTTTTAGTCAGTTTAAATTCTTTTGCCGCGTAACGTTAGACGTTCTTCTTCATGATGACGTCATCATCATGGCGTCACTTTTCCAATCAGTAAAAGTTCTCGAATTGTGTTACATTTTCAATACAATGTATGCAGTTATTTACTTGCTGTTCATAACGAAGCAAAAATTTACATACGACGAAATTTATTCCTGTTGATAATTCTGTTTAGTTATGAAATATTTTTTTCATCCCCATTCAAGTATAGTCCGGCTACAGTGAAAATTATCAATATGATTTCACTGTGAAAAAAATTAGATCTAAATATGATTGCACTTAAATCGACTGCAATTATATTACTGTAACAATGTGTTACAATGGCGTTCCCTTAACATTGTGTTACAATTTATATAATAATGTGTTAGGCTAATATGTCTTTAACCCTGCACATGTGTGCATGATGTTTCTTAAAAACCATTCTACAATTATAATATTTTAGCTGTTTTACTGTGATATTTCTCGAAAACTGTGTAACAATTATTTTTCTTTAATGTGTTTTTGTGGTATTTCCTCAACACTGTGTTGTCTGATTTTATTGACCTCATTATAGCACTCATTTAAATATTCGGCCCCACTTCGGTTTGGTCCGTGTAGTTTACGAGAATTAATATAGAGTACATAGTATATTAGTCATGTGTTGAAAGTCACACCAGTTTAATATGAAGGTATTCGTTACATTGACAATAGCACAGTCGGTTAAGTGAATGCCTGATAATTGAGACGTCAGTTGTTCGATCACTACTACTGCCATATTGTTTTAGACCTCTTTTTTTATTTTTGCAATAACTTATAATGGATTCGCTTTGTATTGTATTTGTATTGTATTTCGTTTTACGGCATTAAAATTACATTTATTGAGTTTAATCCAAATGAATTTGAAACATTAATTCTTAAACTATGTTCTGTAAAAAAAAAGAGTATAAACTTTGCAAGTTAAGAAATAATATCGGTGTTTATCGGCTATTTAACACCAATCTCCTACGCAGTGATCTCCCTTTATCAGTACATCTAAGTATGGATTGGCGCCGTTTTGAAAAATATTTATTAACTGATATGGTTCAAATATGTGGCGAAAAATTTAAAAATGATGCTCCGTACGTATACTAGCATTTAGTCTTCGTTGACGGGGCAGAAGGGAACCGGGACAACTTTGATCAATATCATTTGTCGAAGCGAATCATTAAATTACAAGTCACAAAGCCTAAACCACGCCCATTATCAGAGAGGCAGTTCTTCCGCAACCGTCGGCCAGTAAGGGGAGATCACTGAAGAACAGTTTGTTCTCAAAATTAGTCGAACATTATGCAATTCGTACCAATATTTAGATGTATTTATTCCCGGCACATATTGTCTTGAATTCATTTTAAGTATACCAATCATTTCAGTTTTACTTGTTATCCAATTTATTTTGCTTAGATCTTTGGCGCAACAGAAAAACATTTTAGAATTTCACACACGGCATTACTTTGTGAATTTATGCATTAGGTTCTACTTGTTCACAAAAATATGCAACTTTATTATTAAACAACGAGCGCATACCAAGACCATGGAGAAAAAATTGATTTGTGCTTCGGATATTCAACTGTAATAGAGAACGATTTTCAATGCTGATTGACTGTTCACATCATTTGGCGGCGTCTTTGATGTGCAGCATCAACATTTAACTTGTTTAACAATGTGTTATAATGATTTTATTAACACTGTGTTACTATGATATTTCCTTAACATTGTGTGACAATTATATTCTATTTTAAGAATGTGTAACGTATGATATTTCTTTAAAACTGTGTTACAATGATTTGTCGATAACACTATGTTACAATGGTATTTCTAAAAACTGTGTTAACTTTTCTTAGATTTACCCTTGTCCGTCCGTCCATCCATCCGTCCGTTCTGATTTTGTGTCGCAGGTAGCTCAAAAAGTATTTGACCTGTAGGCCTGAAACTTTTCAAGAATGTGGGTCAGCATGTGTACTTACGCACTCTGGGGTTTGCTTGTGAATTTATTCAGTATTTGTAAAGTGCTTGCCCTTTACTAAGTAAATGAGTTTTAGTTTTCAACTTGTGGCACATGTAGCCCAAAACAAAAATGACATAGAGTCATAAGATTTACAAAACAGTTGCCACAGTGTGGGGGCAACCCTGTCCTAGACACATTTCTAGTATTTTAGTTTTCAATTTTGATAAGGATGTTTACTTTTGTTGCTTATATTGATGGCCAGATAAAGCTCCTGATGCAAATGTTGTAGACGCTAACATTTTTGAAGTCCTATAACAAGATGTTTAAATTATCGGGTCGAGTATATATTGATTGGTGATTGGAACTGTCGTATTGGTAATAAACCTGGCTATGTAGTTTGTTTCAAAAATATTAGAAACTATGATCCGGACTTTGGTTGTATTTGTAGATGTGTTTGTGTGTGCGTGCATGCGTGTGTATGTTTTTTTAGTATGTATATATGCATGTATGAATGTATGTACGTACGTAAGATTTTAAATGTTAAATTGCTGTATCAGATGTATGTAAGTGACGGTCACATATATAAATGACCTTCTGGTGTTTTTAAAATAAAATCTTGAAATCTTTGTGTTAAACATTCCGACTCTTATTCTGATTTTTTTTCAATATTTCAATTGGATTGAGACAAGGCCTTATTCATTCGCTGGTAGATTTTGCCCCTTTTCTTGAAGACTTGGAACTTTTCCTGCAAGGATCCGATAAATCAGGTTTATTTTTTATGATATGTGTCTTATCATACAGCTATATGCGGAAGATATGGCAATTGTTTGAGATTCTGTTGAAGATTTAAAGGCCAATTAAGATAAAGTACTGCAAGTACAGAAGTCTACAAATTAATACATCTAAGACTAAGATAGTGGTGTTTCGTCGTAGGAGAGGGCTAAAATGTAATGAGCGCTGAAAATAAATGACGAGCCTCTAGAAATAGTAAATGACTTTAACTACATGGGTGTGGTGTTTAATTATACCGCCCAATTCGTTTTTAAAAAACCAGTACATAGTCGGAAAAGCCTTAAAAGCCTCAAAATACTATCAAATAATTAAAAAAAAAAATGAACTGAACCCTTTGATATCGCTTCAATTATTCAATGCTTTTCTGGGCTCTATCTTAAATTATGCCTGTCCGGTTTGGGGTTTTACTAAGTATAATGGGATAGAACGTGTACACCTCAAATATTGTAAAACGATATTAGGTGTAAAATACAAATAACGTGTCGGTCAATGGGGAATTAGGGAGGTATCCGTTATCCGTTTTGCACATGCGTTAAATATGTCGGTTTTTTAAATTCACGGAGTGAAAAATTAAAATAAAACTTGATTATTTTTATAATAAATGAATATATATCTTATCTAAAGTTATAGTATAATGAGGATTTTAATATCTGGATATTAACGATAGAATAAAATGGACGAATTCAAAGTGTATACAGTGTTTTTGGTGTGTTTTTGATGGGACGAATGAAACGGAGTAAGATTTCACCCCAAGACACCGCCCCAGACCCAAAATGATTGTCTATTGCGGCTAATCCGATAACTTCGGTGCAAACCCCGGTATCACATATACAGTATGGACAATATCAACCAAATAATTCAGGTTGTTGTACACCACAGGCAAGTCAAAATTTAGCTTCAACTGGTGGTTCATATATGCAAGCTTTGAATCAAGGGTCGCATACTTTGACTCAACAACCGTTACAATGTCTATCTAACCAAATAACAAGTGACCAGTTCTCAGCTCTTCTTCAAAGGCTTGATAGCATAGATAAACGTCTGTTACAATTAGACAAAATACAAAGTACCGTTGATAATATTACTGTCAATTTTTATAAGGTAGATTAACGAGTAAGTGAAGTGGAAATAAACTATTAGAATAAGAGAAAAGTAGAGACTATGGTTCCAAATGCTAAGATGATGTTAATAATAAACAAAAGGAGATAGACTCAATGATAAAACAAATAAAAAGTATGGAGAAGGAACAAAGCGAGAAAGAGGCCGAATGGAAAGCAGAACACACTGATCTCAGCGGTGAATTATACAGGGAAAGCAAAAGTGGCGCTACTCATATTTAGGAAAATAGTGGTAGTGAAATAAAGTGTTTATTTTGAAATATCGAGGTATTAACCCAACAGAAAATAACACGCCTCGATTTTATAAAATTCATTGATAAGTATTGAACACACATTGACGAAAGTCAGGCTCCAATTCTTACTTACTTGCCCAACATTCCTTATCATCTGGATGATCTCACCATATCACCAGATGAAGTGCAATTGGTAATGAAATCTCTTCTTTTCGGAAAGGCCGCTGGTCCTGATGATATTAACAATCTAATCCTTCGTGAACTCTCACATGAACTCAGTGGTTCTCTAAGTTCTCTATTTAACTATTCCATTCAGGTTTCTCAAGTTCCAAACATATGGAAAGAAGCAAATGTTTCACCTCTTTTCAAATCGGGTAATCCTTCTCTTGTTAATAATTACCGACCAATATCTCTCATAAGTACTGTCAACAAAGTCTTTGAAAGAATCGTATATAAACACAAATTTAATTTTCTGCGTGATAATAATATCATTACATCTCGTCAATCTGGTTTTGTTCCCGGAGACTCCACTGTCAACCAATTAACATATTTATATAATCTGTTTGCACAGGCCATTGATTCTGGTAAAGAAGTCAGGGCTGTGTTTTGTGACATCAGTAAAGCGTTTGATCGGGTCTGGCACAAGGGACTTATTTATAAATTAAACTGTATCTGTATTTCTGGCCGCCTTTCCTCTTGGTTTTCTTCTTATCTTAAGGACAGAAGACAAAGAGTTATTTTACCAGGTTGTAGATCTTCTCATAACTTTATTGCCGCTGGTGTGCCACAAGGGTAAATTCTTGGGACTTTGTTGTTTCTTGTTTATATTAACGATATTGTTATCGACATCAATGCCAATATAAAATAGAGTAAAGCAGAAACCCTAAAGAAAGCCCAACACAACAACATTGAAAATGTTGCAGGCTCGGTTTGATTGAGCCTGTTCAGGGACGGAACTGGAAAGTACAAGTTACCGTCCACGACCCCTAGCACCAGCTTAAGCACAATTCAACATTTAACACGAAATGGTGAAATTTTGAAATTAGAAACATCCGCAGATGTGTTCATACGGCGGTTGTCATGGAACCTTCAATGTGACACAGTAGTGCCATTCCATGAAAAGTGGCGTATGGTCCCCAAGTAAAAGAATGCTTTTGCCCGAAACGAGAAAACAATGAGCGGAACAAAATAAAATGGAATTTTGAAAGGGGATCTGAGGTTATGAAGCTTGAATATCACAGATAAGACGTAAAAAGCAGGCAACATATCCTAAGGGTGATTATACAGTATTCAAGTAGGAATACAGGAACCACCCAAGTTGAAAATGGCCAAAAAAGAAGAAACTAAAAGTACCACATAACATGTTTACACAACAATAATGTTGTGCTGAACGATCTTCAAGGATCGAAAATATAACATCATTGATTAAAATAAGACTTTTCGCCGACGACACTAACCTTTTTATTTGAAGACCCCGTGTCTGCTTCAACTATCCTTAATTCAGATCTGGATACTTCTTGGGCCGAACAATGGTTGGTAAAATTGAATCCCATTAAAACAGAATCACTAATAATAACACGAAAAACAAACCAAAATGTAATCCATCCTCCTATCTTTATGCATGGCGCACAAATAAAAGAAGTACGCATTCATAAACACTTGGGAATTACTTTCGCTCATGATTTAAGATGGTCCACTCATATTGAATATATCACAAATAAAGCTTCGAAAAGAATAAATGTTATGAAAAAATAAAATTCCAACTTGATAGGAAATCATTAGAAATAATTTATCAATCTTTCATAAAACCGATTTTAGAATATGGAGATGTGCATTTTGATAATTGTACACAAAGTGATAAAAAGGACCTCGAACAAATTCAACAAGAAGCCGCTAGAATAATTACTGAAACAACTAAGCTCGTATCAATCGATAAACTCATGAATGAAATTGGCTGGGAATATCTAGAAATAAAGGAGACAGAAACATATTTTAAACTTATTTTATTTTTTTAAATGAAAAACAACCTTACACCACATTATCTTTCTGATCTTGTCCCTCCGTCGATTGGCAGTGAGCACCGTTACCCTCTCAGGAACGCGGACGACACGCAATACATCCGTACAAATACAGAAATTTACTATAATAAATCATTCTTACCTTCTGTTATTAGGGATTTCAACTCTCTTCCACACAAACTGCTACAACGTTAACATCATTTAAGCGACTTCATAATATTGATATGCTAAAAGGACCTGCCCATTTTCTATGCGGTGAGCGTAAATTACAAATTTTTCACTCTTTCTGCCGATTTATTTGATAAGAACATTACCGACTCTCCTTTGTGTGAATGTGGTGCGAGAGAAAATGCTTATCACTACTTTCTTGAATGCCCTAAATATACTAACCTACGACCTTAATTAATAAGTGCTATATCACAATTTTGTAGTTCTTCCATCAATGTCATTCTTACTGGTTCCAATACTTTACCTTATGATTCTAATGTATCAATTTTTAAATCAGTTCAAAAATATATCCGAGATACAAAACGATTTTAGCGTACTTAAAACCAGAGATGTCTAAACATATTTGACATTTACTAGATTATGCATCTTAGTTCCTCGTTATTGTTCCATCATTGTTCATCCATTTCTTTCTTCCTTTCTCTAATATCTTTTTTTCCTTTAAATATTCAGTGTATATCTATTGTGCGTATCTGCTAATATACAGCTGTAAGCAATCAAATAAGATATTATTTTTCTTCTTCTTACTAAATTCTAAAACGAAATAAATTACTAAAATAGGTGTTTGTCTATTTGTACTTTATTTGTGAGTTGCTTTATTCTTCAATCATTTTTTTCTTCTTTTTTTCTCCTTTTTACTGTTTGCTCTTACATATGTTACATTGTTAAATACTTATATCTTAACTATTATGTGAATGTCTTTGAATACTTCAACTAACCGCTGTGTATGATAATGTCATGAACTGTGTTATTGTAAATTATTATAACTGAGAGAGGACATTCATAAGCTTTATAGCTTTCTGCCCAATCCCAAAATGTACTTTGTAAATATTGTTCACTTGTTAAATGTTTTGTTGAATAAATATGTCTAAACCAAGTATGATTTGATGCAACTAATTATTTAGATTAATTCCGCATATACGGAATGAATCTCAATAATTAAATAATAATTTCGTAATTTACATATAGAAATTATCAAATTAATTACTGATATTCATTCCGTATATTATATATAATTTACAGAATGAATGGCAATACTTTATTATAAAATGTGTATATGACATACTAATTGTAAGATTAAGACTTTACATTCATTACATATTTTATGTACATGTGTGTGTGTGGAAATACATATTCAATTAAGAAATGAATATTCAGACTGCTATACCCTTTTGTTAGTATTATTGCATGATTTTACAAATTCCCGTGCTTTTTCACCTTTATACACGTGTGTAAATTTATAAAATTGTATAATATAAATACAATGATAACACAAGGTTTTTTATTCATTGTAATATGGCCACTAGAAACCAAAAAGTGTACAGGTTATAGATGGAAATTCAAGAAATAATAGGCCCTGCTGATAAATGGCCGCATAAAATTCGAAGAAATTTTTGGAAACCGTCATCAAAATATTTTGATAGAAAAATATTTTGCGCTTTCGCGTATGTCAATGGAATAAATCCTGAAGTGTTTTTAGAGTGGATTGAGCTGATGAATTAAGCAAGAGATAGATCCGCTAAAAACCACAATCGAGCCCTATTCACCTTATTCGAAGCAGGAAATTACTCTCCATCATTATATGCTTTTAATGTTACAAATAACCGATATGAATATTTAGATGGAACTATAAGGAGATATGTACACGCATGAAGGAAAAATTAAGGTAAAGTACTTTTACACAAATTGGAGTCTTAATTCGTGTTGTATATTAACGTCACTCACGATTTCCTTTACCATATAAGGCAATGCAAAACAATGTGTTAAGTATAATTGTAATTTGGGGTACCATTTGGGTGCTTCCAAGTACATGTAAATAATATTATGAAATACGTATTCCTTGAAAGTAATTTCAATTATGGATTAAAATAAAAAAATGACAAATTATTAAACTTACAACTCCCAATTACAATATACTCACGTATTAGTCCCCGGGGATCTTTATTTCATTGTAAAATGCATCTATTAGCATTAACGTTCCCTAACATTCTAAATATCATTCAATATTACCTATATAATAACGACAACAGTTTCGTAAATAATTGGTGTATTCGGAATGGTTTAATGCCGAACAACATCCCATGTATCAAATCGACAAAACACGTGGACGGTAGCGAAACCTCATGTAATGTCATTATGAACATATCTCAGAGAAGTGGAAAGTCATCAAGCGCACCTCTACGATGTACCAAGAACCGCAATCACGAAACCTCCGTCAGACGTAATACTTTTTTTGCTAATTCAAACCTGACGATTCAGGATATCATGAATTTTGGGAAGTGTGACTAAGGGGGCGTGGACGGTAACTTGCACTTTCCAGTACCGTCCATGAACAGCCTCAATCAAACCGAGCCTGCAACATTTTCAATATTGCCGTGTTGGGCTAGCTTTAGGGACTCTGTATTAATCTATTTTAGATCAAAATTCATTACTTCAGTGTTCAAGAATCACCGGAATATGTTATAAAAGTACTGGGTCTGACTGGGCTAGTTACATGAGAGAGATTTCAAAGAGCATTATCACAGAACTATGCGTCACCGAGTAATATCGGGAGAAGAAATTGATGAATCTTTATTTGGTAGGAAAGTTAAATAGTACACCGGGGAAATCCACATAAAGGTCTCCGTGTCTGAGTTTTCGGCATGGTAGATAGGCACACCAATACAATCATACTGTATCCCGTGAACGACAGACGAGCAGACACTTTAGTACCCTTAATAAAACGTCACCGTGGCGGAAGGAAGTAGGATTTAAAGTGATGGGTGGAGTGCGTACATGGATTTTAATGAAATGGGATATGAACATTTCACGGTTTTACACAAATATGCTTTTAAAAAACTGTAGAAAAACCAAAGTACAGAAGAACTGATGACGGTTCACACTAATCAAATAGAAGGTGCATGGAAGCACTGCAAGGACCACTTTCGACGTCTGTCAGGGACAAAGGCTCCACAATGGGAAGGTCATATTGTGGAAGTCATGTGGCATAAGTTAAAGTTCTTCGCACCTCCAGAGTACAACTACACAATTCCTCTATTTGATTCATGGAGTGGGGTTGTTGACGAAAATCAACCTTTCGATGAATAGAATCTTAATCCAGCAATGACCGATGCAGAATCCACAGACCCGGAATCTGAAAACGAATTAGATGCATACATGACAGCATTTCAAATCTGCCATTAGGTACTTCTGGGAATCCCTATCTGGTTTCCACAGAAGAGGAAGAAATACCACATTCTGAAGTTCTTTCTGCAAAAACGTTAGCAGCACTGTCGGAAATGTTTTCAAGAGAGGAAGGCCCTGTTACGCCTACAAATCCCAGTATACAAGAAATTACGTGTGATCTTTTGGGTGCGAACACATCTGTGACCTCTACAGCGAAGATGCGTACAGACAAACTTTGTCATCCGAAAGGATTTCAGCCTTTAGTAAAGGAAAACAAACGGGTGACAGGAAGTCAAAGAAGAGCATCCAAAATCCGTACACGAAACGTAATTTCGTGTGGTCATCCGATGATGATGACTTTGCTTAGATATTTGTAACAGAGTTCAAAAAATGTATATAGATGTGGGTCAAAACTTTAAAATTAACTTATACGGCAGCACGTTATAGGGACATTATGTCCATCCAGTGGTATATAGTGAGTGAACGGATGAAGATCAAAATATGTTTTCATTTTGCCATAATCTCTTTTAATTTAATAATTTAGTTCACATAAACAATAGATAACACACAAATCCAAATGAAATTTCTGTAAATATC